ACCTTGTTGTCTCGGATTCTCCAGCATCTGCAGTTCCTACTATCTCTGATTCAACAAATTGCTGGCTAAAACAAGACAGCAGGTTTATCCTGCAAATGAACTGGCATGGGGAACAGCACTTTAAGAAACTGCTTCCCTTATCACAATTCGAGTCATTTTTGGACATCTTACAATCACGTCAGTTACACAGGCTCCTTGATCATCCTTAGGTTATAAGATTTGCATGGCAATTACAGAGTTCCATTGTGCGAAGCCAGAGGGGTCTCTGCTGAGGCCCTTTGTTCCAGTTAATTGAATGTTGCACAGTGTACACTCCACAACAGTGAAGTCTTTTATTTTTAAAACAATTCCCCACCCATTCATCCATAGCAATCATTTCATCCCCAGGCTAATAATCCTTCTGGTTTTTCAATACCATGTGGTTCCTCTTCCCTTTGTGTTAGTTGTTTTCTTTTGAGCTCTCCTTCACCGTTAGCCCTTTATGAGATTATGATGGTTCACAACATTTACAGACATTACAGCCACGATGGATGGTCCCAACCCAAGACGTCAACTTTCCTGCTCCTCAGATGCTACCTGGCCTGCTGTGTTCCTCCAGCTCCACACTGTGTTATCTCTTATTACAGCCACGAATCTGTTTACCAGAGTCAGTCTGGTTCTAAGGTTAAATGATTTGATACAGTATATATTGCTGTTGTCTGTCCCCCTTGTCAGTGTCTTCAATTGTGTAATACACACATTTATCTGGTTATTAATAGATTTTTAAAAAATTAGCTTAAGGTTCCACAATAAAAACTATGAGGAAGAGCAGATTTTTGTTCTAGTTATGTTGGTTAAAGAATAAATGTTAGTGAGGACACTTTTGCAATAGGAATTTCTCTTTCCAGTTGAGAGCACAAATGGAGCCTTGGTTTAATGCTTCATCAAAGAAAAAAATGGAATGTCAAACAATGTAGCACTCCCTGAACACTGTATGAAATGTCAACCTAAGCCTCTGAAGTGGGATGATAACTTCCTGAATTAATAATTAGCCTCCATGGCAGAAGTATTGCTCAACCAGTAGCAGACTGCTGGAAGGATTTAAACATGTAGCTGTGTTAAAATACTTGCCCAAATCAAGTTGACAGCTCATTACCTGAATTACTTGAAGCTGTGAGAAAGATTCCAATGGCAACATAGATCCCAGTACGATATCTTAAATGTTCCCCAGTGTTATTTTTGGACAAAATTTAAGTCTTATTTTGAGATTAGATGACGAGCACTTACCACAGTCAACATGCCTGCTGGCTAATAAATCAGATGCAATAAATCTAATATGATCATTTGAAGTAATACCTGTATCAGTGGATGAGTATCATTGACAGTCACTTCAATTTTATTAAGGAGTTTGCAAATGTTTCTTACGTGGGATAATTCATGAAAATTAAGATGCGTGGGATAGAGCCCAAAATATCCAGTACTCTACAGTTCGCTCCATTATGATGCACTGTAGACAAATTTCATCACCACTCCTCAAAAGCATGTAAGACCATAAGACCCAGGAGCAGAAGTAGGTCATTCAGCCCACCATTCAATGAGATCATGGCCTTATCTGAATTTTCATTTGGAAAGCAAGCTGCTTTTCAAAGTTCAGTGCTCAATTTCAGCTCACAATTCCAAATAAAGAATGAGAAAAATAACATAATCTTCAACTGCATTTTCCAGCTTTTCTCCATAACCCTTGAGTCCTTACAATTAAAAATCTGTCTATCTCAGCCTTGAATACAATTAATGACCCAACCTCAAGGGTCCTTGGGTAAAAGAATTCCACAGATTCACTACCCTCGGAAGAAAGTCTCCTCTTTTCTGTCTTAAATGTTTGACACCTTATTCTGAGATTGTGCCCACAGAGGGAAACAAGCTTTCCAAATAAACCCTGTCCAGTCCCTTAAGAATCTTGCATGCTTAAATTAGGTTGCTTTGCATTCTTCCATATTCTAATGAGCATAGACTCAATCCACTCAGCCTCTCCTCATAAGACAGTCCCTCCATTCCTGAATCAGCCTAATGCCTCCAATGCCAACATAGATGCATTGAAAAGAGTTCACAGAAGATTAACAAGGATGAGTTCTTAAGGACAAAGTTAGGAGGAAAGACTCTGGTACCTGCATGAATCTTTTCTGGAGAAAAGTAGATTCAGAGGATACAAAATTCAAATTTTTGCAATGTCTACATAAGTATATGATTTGGTATGTTGGCATGTGAGCATGTATTCATAGACCCTGAGCAAGATTGATGAATACCATTTTGTTTCTGTCTCGATTGGTGGGCATATAGAAGAGACAATGGATAAAAGAAATAATTCTAGGCTAATTGATTTTTACTTGAAGAGTATCAATCAAGAACTGTTGAGAAAGGGAATAAATGGCTACTGAAATTATTAAGTCTGTTCAACTTACTAGATATTAGAAGGACATGTTTAGAAATTCTGGTCCCCTCAAAAACTATCATGACTCAATCCCATTCCTGGCATTTGAGATGATGTTAACATTAATATTGGGTGTACGTAGCAGTACTAACACTTGCTGGGGCTATCCATCAATAAGTCACTCTGGATTTTATTGTAGTGCACTGCCACTTCAGGAAAGGCATAGTTTGTTGTGACCGAAAATTTCATCACAGCTGCTCTGTTGCAAGTGTTCACTATGTTTAAAGAGGAAACAAATTGCTCTGTTATTCATTACTATTTGGTAATGATTCTGAAGTCTAAATAAGGTCCTGTGTGGCAAATAAATCTACTTTGTTCAAGTCTATTCCTGATTCCCACTTCCACAACATTGCCCTTAGGTGTAAATGGTGACAGTGCCAAGGATGTTGCTATATTACCAACAGTTGCTTCATGATAACTAAATGAGTCCACCTCCACTCTACTGTAATTTACTGGCAGAGTGAGCTTGAGGGAGAATTGTGGTCAGATTGGGGTTGGTTCAACTTTCTTGCCCTTCACTTTACTCTTCGAAATTTCCACCTTTTTAGAGATCGGAATCTCCAGTTAGGGTTCAAAGCCTTGCATCCTGAAATTCCTAAAACTAGGCAATAGCAGTGGAAGAAACTAGAGGGCTGTAATTTGTAACCAACAAGATTCCATCCCTTGTCAGCTCCATCAGCTTCATGAGGGGAACATAATAAGAAGATCCTAATAAATAGGCAGGCAAGTTACAATACTACTTAAATTACATGAGGAGGAGGAAGAATGGCACTAGGTGAAATGCTTATTGAGAGAGCAGATGCAGACAAAAGGTGCAGAATAGCCTCC